CAAAGTATTTGTAGTTACAAGAGAAATGCCAGTGCTACTTAGGAAAATCCTTGTTAAGCAGTAATAATGATTAAGTCTCAATTCTGGATTACATATCTTTTTAACGTTCTGCCTGACAAAATAGGATGTACACATGAAGTTCTCCAGCGACCTGTGCGACAGTCGTCTCGAGGAAGGGCGCTTGTGTGACTGAGTCACAGGCCAAGGTAGCCACTTCTTATTCCGGCCACCACTGCTTTGTTCTGCTCGTGGGAGCCCTTCCCTTCTCTGTAGGGTCTTCAGCATTTACCACACCTTTGCAGTGCTTACTGTGTGCTAGAACTGCTTTGGGATTGAGAATTTACAGACAAAGAGAATGTAACCTCTGCCGTCCTTAATAATCTACACCTTCTGTGAAGTGCCATGGAAGTAGATGGACATTCTTTCTTGGAAAGAAATAGTAAGATTCTCCCCAGAAAGCACTTCCTTCATGGCTTTACAGTGTTTCTCATTAGAAGCATCGTTGGCATTCTGAGCGGCATATATTCCTCCAAAGAACAGAACTCTTCCTTGCGTTTTTGGACATTAAGCACCCTTGACCTCCCCCCCCCCACCCCCAACCTGTTGAATGTTAGTAATCTCCCACCCCCAGTATTATGGCCATTGAAAGCACACCCACACCCTTTCCAACCCTCCAGAAGGACAGGGGCATCCTTCCCTGGACATGGTAGCTCAGGTTTTGCTGGGATTGGTTGAAGGAGGCCGGGGAGGTGGCTGCGGGATCACTATCTCTGTATGACTGTCGCAATTTGTGCCTCATTATTCCCCCACACTCTTGTGACACTGCATCATTCTCAGAAGATCTTGATGCTGAAAGCCTGTCTTCGTGGAGAGTGACTTGCCTGCTGAGGAGATTTGCTTTGTTACAAAGCAGTGCATCTGATAGATGGCCTCCAAGTTCCTTAGAACCAACATCCATTCCGTGGCGAAGGGGAAAGTCTAGTCTTTCAGTGTATACTGGCTGGAGGTTGGGGGGTGTTCTACATGACAGGCTGTTATGGGGAAACATTTAGCCCTGATATGGCACAGTACAACATAGAAAGTGAGATGAAGTTCTAAGTAAATCGGCTAGTAAGAGAGGGTGATGTTGAGAAAAATTTGCCATCTTGTTGCCTATTAGCTACGTATGTAGTAAAGGGAAATACGGCATAGCTCACTTTGACGCTTTGAATTTGAGTCAAACGTTAGACATTCTGAGCTTTTCCACAGCTAACTTTCTTGGCTCTAGAAATAATAAAAAAAACTCTTAGAAGTTATTTTCAGGAATTCTGTGTACTATTATATGTTAGTATTGAGCAAAGAATAATATAAAAACTAGGGAGAACAATTAAATCTCAAATTTTTGATGGGAGTAGAAAATATATTGCTAGCAGACTACAATCAATTGAGGTTCAGGAAAATGGGATGGAGCTATAGATGGACACAGGAACTATTAGATGCCACATAAAGGAATATGTAGATTACAGAACCTCAGGGAAGGCCCAGATGAGAGTGCACCGGGCCTTCTCCGAGTCAGCTGTGTACAGCCTGCGTCCTACAAACCCCACACACTTGTGCTTCACTTGGGAGCTGCTGAGGCCTGAGTACCACCCACTGGTGCTCCAGGCAAGCGAGTTTCTCCTGGCATCACCACATCGCCTTCTACAGCTTCCATGGCTGCGTGCTCGGGCCCCCACGCAGTGTGGTATACTGTCAAAATTCCTGCCTCTTTGCTAAAAGTTTCTCCTTGCTTGAGAAAGTTCCTTTGTGATTTGGAGACCAGGCTTGTGGTGCTGATGAGTTTAAAAACAGCTTCTGCTGTGAAAGTGTATGACATTGCAGTCCATTCACTTGTGTGCAGTTGGATGAACAAGCACCCTCTCATCCGCCGTCTTACTCTTACGTGACCTTCTCTTGCTCGCTGTCCTACCCCCGCCCCTCACAGTCCCTGGCCATCTCCATGGAAGAGGGCCGTGCTACAGCCTCTGATTTCTGATGCACGACAAGGAGGCATTAAAGTAAATGCCTCCTAGGAATATTTGCTGTTAAAGCAGCCTTCAGAAAATAAAATCAACCTAGCCTGCCAGTGAGATGAATCCTGACATAACAGTTATAACGTAGCTACAAAAATCCCTTAATATCGAATTCCTGAGTCTAGATTGCTACCTGTGGCCAGAAACTTCTAGAACCAGCAAGCCAGAGTGGAAGGAGAATCACAATTGATGTCTTTTCTGGCTTTCGGTGCAGTTATCATAAATAGTAGTTTCCCCCTAAATTTGAATATCTGCCCTAATTGATGGAAATCTGAAGTTATTCAGCCAGGCAGTTCCTGCTGTCTTCCCATGTTCCTTTGTGCATTGGATCAGCCCACCCTTGCCCCCACCCTTCTCTTCCTTTATACCTGGATGCTTTTCTCCACAGCTCCTTCCACTCAGAGCCCATGCACTTCCCCACATGCTGTCTTCACTAAGCTTTCCTCTCCCCTCACTAATGAGAGAAGAGATAACATGTGCCTCTGGCCCCTGCTCTCCTCACCCTATAACTCCTGTTTGACTCCCACTCAACATTTCACTTTGTGAATAAATGAACATTCTATTTGCGTATTTAGGTACTTATTTCTAGCCAGTCATGGGTCGCTACACTTCCTCATACCTCTGGAAGCCCCTTGGGGAAGATCATGTCGTATTAACTACATAGTATAGCACACACACTGAGGAGTCACTGAAGATCAGGTGTCCCACCCAGAAAAATTCAGAAGTAAGCTCTGAGCTTTTTGGTACTGTTCTCCAAGAAGATTAGCTGAAAGTGTGTAATTGTGCAACTGAACTGTGGGAGCCAAACTGGGGGAGATGAGCAAGGGATGTGACATATCAGAGGTGAGATTATGTAAGTAGAAAACCTTTCATCCATGGACTTCAGAATACATTACACAGACTTTCCCTTAACTAGATATATGGAAATCTCTTTGAGAGAAGCAGAGACTCCAAAGCAGACCCCTGAGAGGATGAGGCTGTGAGGGAGAACACAGAGATGAGCCTGGGCTTCTGGGCTTCTGGACTCAGCAGACATTCCGTTCTGGCCCCTCCCCCAGGGTTCTGTTGGGGTCATTAGGAATCAGGCTATAAATAACTAGGTGGCCCGTAGGTCAGGCCTCAGGAAGGTCTGCATAACCTTACCCCAGTGTTGCTGCATCTCTGCCATGGAAATGACCATTAATGTCAAAGGAAATTTGCAGAGGAAATAACAGCATGAGGATTTAAGTCACAATGAATCTTTCTCTTCAATTAGGCTCTGTTTCCTTTCCTAAAGCCCCATTAACCAGGTTTGGGGTAAGGTTGTTCACGATGAGATTCTTTGTGTTTCTTCTATGTACAATTTTCTGGTCACTATACTTCAAAAAGGAAAAAAAAAAAAACCCACAGGGTAATTAAAGAAGGTCCAGAGAAGAACCAGAAGTGAGTGAAAAGGGCCACCAGATAAGACTGTTGTAAAGATTAACGGGGAGCTTTTTTAAAAAGAGCAGGGAAATATAACCTAAAATTTAACATTTCCAGGTGTACGATTCGGTGGCATATAGTACATTCACAGTTTGTGCAGCCATTACCACCATCTGTCTCCAGAACTTTCTCATCATTCCGAGCTATAAGTCAGTAACTCTCAATTCTCCCATCTCCTAGCCCCAGCCACCACTGTTCTACTTCCTGTCTCTATGAACCTGACTCTTCTAAGGACCTCATATAAGTGAAATCATGCAACACTAGTCCTTTTGTGACAGACTTATTTCACTTAGTATACTGTCCCCACGGTTCATCTGTGTTGTCTCTTGTGTCAGAATTTCCTTTCCTTTTAAGGCTGACTAATATTTCATTGGGGGTATAGGCCACATTTTGTGTATCCATTTATCTGTTGATGTTTTCACCTTTTGGCTGTTGGGAATAATGCTGCTGTGAACATTGGTGTACAAGTAGGCGCTGTTTTCAATTCTTTGGGGTTTGTACCTTGGGGTGGGGGGGGTTGGAAATCACTGGATCACATGGTAATTCTGTGTATAGCTTTTTGAGAAACTGCCAGAACATTTTCCACAGGAGCTACATCATTTCACATTCCCGCCAGCAATGCACCAGAGTTCCAGTGTTTCCTCGTGCTGGCCAGCACTTGGTTTTTCCCGTTAATTTGGTTTTGTTTTGAATAATCACCATCCTGATTGGCATGAACGGGGACTTTTCTGCCTGAAAGAAACAGACTGAGAGTGCAAGTGTAGTCCTATAGTTATGAAGACTTCACCTGGGATATACACAGACATGGTCACCAGAATCTAAAATTTGGAATCTGGGCAAGGATGAAAGTCATAGTACGTAATAGCATAGCGTGGGTAGGGAACAGTCCCAAAGGCCACCAAGCCCTTCTCCTTCCTCATGTGTACGGGCCAAACATCAGCTTGGCTGGGGATCCTATTGAGGTAAATTTAGAATAATGAGAAACCTGTCTTCTCAGACCAGTTATTCTATCTCATGATGGACACGTAACCTCGCTAATAGGTAGTTAAGAAAAACCATGAATTCTGTATAATTCACCCCCATACTTTTAAAGTTGATGTTAGAGAAGATGATTGTGCCTCTGTTCCAACCTTAGATTCAACCAGCCGTCCTGTATTTGAAGCTTCCTGGGCTTCCCTTGGGAAGCCCTTGTGTGTCCATCACAAGGGACTGAAATTACTATTTTAATTATTTAACCTTCAACAGATACTGTATGCTGACCATGGATAAGTGCTATGAGTAGAGCTGAGAACAGAGCAGACCCTACCTTTGTCTTCATGGAGCTAGGGTTTCGTGGGCGAGTCAGATCATTTATCACACAAGTAGATTTGTAAACTCCACGCTGTGTTTAGCTCTGTAAAGGGAAAAATACCTGTGATATTTCTCTCTTTTCCTTTAGATTGTTCACACAACCACTCTGAGAGATCTGCTTTCTTTTCTCTTCAGGAGCCTTCAAACAGGTGGCTTTGCCTGGGAGGGAGAGGTAGAGAACAACGCGTATAGCAAGGCTACAGGGGTGGTCCCTCAGCACAAGTATCACCCCACAGCGGGCAGTTACCAACTCCATTTTGCCCTGCAGCAACTTGAACAACAAAAACTTCAGTCCCGGCAGCTTCTGGACCAGAGTCGAGCCCGGCATCAGGTAATTCAGAAAAGTCTTTTCCATATGCTAGTATCTTCCTTCTACAGCCCGGGGCGGAGTGGGGTGGGGGGGGTGGGGGGAGGCAGGGGGGCGGGGAGGAGATTAAGGTCAATGGAAAAGGTAGGAATAGTTTCCCAAAAGTTTACCAACACCACCATGGCTTGGATGGCTCTTGGAAAATCTACTCTAAGGGAAGAAATGTGCTGAAGCCTTGACGTTGGCTTTGGCAGGAGATGACGCTGAGCCAGTTTTGACATTTTCTTTCATTTGAATATTTCTCTACAAAAATCTCTGTTGTAGCATTTCCCCTTTCTGTTGCATGACAGTCAGTCAGTAAGCTCCCAGCAGGTCTAATTTCCAGATACCTAAAAGCTAGCATTTGAAGCAACTTTTTCCCTAAATGTATTACTTCCTTGTCTTTACACTCTTCATGTACCTAAGCGCACATTAATCCTTCATAACTTACCAAGATTTTCAAGGCGTAAATAATGTTTCCAGTTCTTCTCATAGGAAATGGTCAAAAGTTGTTGGTCTTCTGGTTGGACAGTACACAAAACAACGTACACACAAAAATGTAACAGTATACAACATCCTTGCTGTCTTGGCATTTACGCTCTAGTGAAATACCATTTTCCTTCTCACTGTCTGTAGAATGACAGAAACTCCGGAGTCTGTGTGTGAGGGAGCTGTGTAAGTGAATTGTACTAGTGTGTCAGTACGGCCCAGATTACAGAGAAAGACCACCTAGAGTTAAATTCCTCTTGGTGATTTCAGGGTTATCATTAGAATCCGTTACTGTGTTCTATATGTGGTGTTGGACTAAATCAGCACTGATTCTATGAGCTTCTTTTCTATTTGGCTATGTGAAGAAATATATTGGTTTGATCTCTTGTTATTTGCTCTTATAAAAATGTAGTTCATAGCGTGCATTCGTTTGTGCAAAATTAATATTCACTCAATGACAAAAGCAGCATTTCCCAAAGTGGTGTTTTCCCCCCTCTAAATAAAACACTCATCATTATGCTCCTTACCTTAGTCTTTTTAACTATCATCCAGGTCCAGGCATTGTATTATTTTGGTTTCATTCATCACTTCTATGTGATGTACTCTCTATATCATAGTAACTCAATGTAATTGAGAAATTGTGAGCATAAGCAGTTGTGAAGTCGTTCTGTAGGTCTGTTTTTACTGGAGGAAAATCCGGACTTCTTACCTGGAAAGCGTGGGATGTAGCATCTCATTTCGATCACCACGCTGCCCTCTGTCATGTAGAAATTTCCTCATTTAGAAAGTCTTTAGCAGAGGCAGTTTGCATTTTCACAACTGTAAATACAATGTGTATCTTAGATTTTTTTTTTAATCTATGTAAATTTCTTAAAACTCCTAAGCTTCTGAACTCCTCATCATTCAGAGTACTTGAGAATGCCAGCTTAATCAAATGCTGGAGAGGAGAGGTATCAAAAATAGCTTTATTTCTCTTCTGGGAATATAATTGATGATCTAACAAATATAGACACTCCATCCCTTTTGATGCTTCCATACCCTGAAATGGTGATAATTTTTAAAAGGGGGGAAGAGGAGGTGATTTTAGGGCATTGAAGTTTGAAGGAAGGAGAAACAGTTTTTATTGATTTTCACTTTTAGAAACTGCTTCATTTAATAGCCCTTCTCATTCTTTTGATTAGCTTCCAACAACTCACATTCCTTTGAAAATTCAGAGTATGCTATTCTTTTGTGGATTTTTTTTTTCCAGTGAGGATTACACTGGTTTAGTTTCACTGAACTATGAAGTATATGGAAAAACATGTTTTTTAGAATCTGTCAGAATATCTGTCTTAGGGAGGAGTCAGAACTCCCAAGAAGGGAGTTATCTTGTGTCTCCTGGAGAGGGAACAGAAAATCATTCATCATAATTTTATATATGTTTATAACATCATTTATTTCTTCCCCCTCTTCTTCTAATCCATAGTTGATTTAGGGGAAAATGAGTCAGGGTGAAGTTCTGGGACCATGGAGAGAACTCAAGACACTAAGTTCTTTTTTTTTTTTTTTTTCTGATGTTTTGTTTATTTTTGAAAGAGAGATAGAGACAGCATGAGCAGGGGAGGGTCAGAGAGAGAGGGAGACACAGAATCTGAAACAGGCTCCAGGCTCTGAGTTGTCAGCACAGAGCCTAATGCGGGGCTCGAACCCACAAACCGTGAGATCATGACCTGAGCTGAAGTCGGACGCTTAAATGACTGAGCCACCCAGGCGCCCTGTCAAGACATTAAGTTCTTAGCTTAAAGAGTTTAGAGCTAAGAAAATAGCAAATAAGATATTAAATGTTCTAACATGAAAGATATTTAGTAATATAGAGCACTTTATTTCAGAGGACATTAAGAACACTCCATGGAAGAAGCAAAGCCCTTCTAGATTGTAAGCCTCTTCTTATAGCCTTGCTTATGGCTGTGCTAGAATTGACCATTATAATTATCACCACATTGCTGACAGAAGCATGGTTTGCCTTCTCAGTATGTCCTATGTTTCTGTCCTTGGGTTAACCTGTTAGATAGAGATGGTTTCTTTGTTGAACTCCTTATGCTTTGAATTCATTTTTCTAAAGTGTACGTAGCCACTGATATAACTAACAATTTGGTTAATTGCCTCTTTGAGAAGAGTGGGTAGAATTGAAATCTAATTTACTTAGCATATTCACAAGAGATACCTGTCTATGGAACAGGCCATTAAAGGAGACTTTACATTGTATTGCGCACTATCATATTGAATTGTATTGATTATGTACATGGCCTGTGCCTTTCACAGTGATCCCCTAAAAACCTTTTTGGAAAGACCATGCAACCTTTCTTGAGTTACATGCAGAGGAAGTTCTCCATCCTCTTCTGCACTTAGCGGCCAGCTTACCAAAGGAATTAATTTCAAGAAGGCAACTCTGATTCAGGATGTGTTTGGAAATGGACATCTCTAAATTCATGCAGTGTAGGCTTTGATCTTCATCTCTGTCCAGCACTGCACTTGTGAATTGAGAAATTGTCATGCGCTGAATCCACCTCAACAAAAGCCAGGTCCTATAACCTGGGTGTGGAAGAGAAGGTTGCCTGGAGCCATTGGCAGGGTCTCCATGGGCTGAGGTGCACAAGGAAATAAGTGTGATCCAGTCCATCTGATAGAGAGTGTGATACACAAAGTAAGACAAAATGGAAACCATGTACTTCTACACACTGATGAGTAAAACCAGCAATTTTTAAAAAAACATCCTTCTGGGGCACCTGGGTGGCTCAGTCAGTTAAGTGTCCGACTCTTGATTTTGGCTCAGGTCATCATCTCACAGTTTTGTGAGTTTGGGCCTCATATCGGGCTCTGCACTGACAGTGTGGAACCTGCTTGAGATTTTCCTTCTTTCTCTGCCCCTCCCCAGCTCGTGCTTTCTCTATCTTTCTCAAAAACAGTAAAGAAAGACTTTTAAAAAATAAAAGTTTAAAGAGAAATCATCCTAAGTCAGAGCAGGGGTCAGCAGACTTTTTCCATAAACGGCCAGATAGTTAAATACTCCAGGCTCTGTAGGCCAGCGTCTCCGCGGCCACCACTCCACTCTGCCATGGTAGAACGAGAACAGCCATGGATGGCATTTAAGTGAATGAGTGTGGCTGTTTTCCAGTGAAACTTTATTTATAAAAACGAGTGGTAGGCTGGATTTGTCTTACAAGCCCTAGTTTGCAGACCCCCGATTTTGAGCAATGGAACCAGTTGGAGGGCCTGTTTTTAAAGCACTGATCACTATCTCCACCCCCTCTCTGATTCAGTACATTTGGGAAAGGGGCTCAGTTATTTCCATTTCTAACAAGTCCCCCTGGTGATGCCAGTGCTGCTCTTGGGGACCACGCATCGAGAGCCATCGAGATAGAGGGAAAGGGACGGGAAATGTCTCCTTCCCAGCTATTTGTTTTCTGTCCCTTGGCAGGGAGGCGGAACACGTTAAGACTGAGTGTTGCCCTTAGAAAATTTCAGGCGATTATCGTTTTATAGGAACTTTGTTTCCATCTTTTTCACTCCATCTACCACAGTCTCCTTATAAATACGTTTTCCAAACTTGAAAGCCTTCTTGCGCATTTTTCTTATCAGGGTACATTCTGCTCAGCAGTCACTGCTCCCAGGACTCACATTTTATGGGAGACAAGAGATAAGTAATGGGACAGATTGCTCCCGCTTTGTTTTTCATAATAGCCATTACTCAGTAAGCACTTCCTGCAGCCCGAGCTCTATTCCAGGTGCTTTACATGTATTAATTTATTTCACACGCACTTCGGGGTGGTTGGAGAAGTGACAGACTCCTGGGACGAGCTGATCCGTGCCCAAGTGTGTCTTCTCTCTACCCTCATTGCTTCCCACCTCCTCATTCGACCTTCCTGCCCCTGAAGAAGGATAAAAAAACGTTTCTTTCAGCTGAGTCAGGGGACCTTCTCAGGCAGCAGCGACTGCTGGTGACATCAGCATGAGTAGCCCTCGGTGCTGGGGGCTGCGAGGAGGGCTGCACCGGCCGTGAGGCCCAACTGACCTGATTCTAATTGCCGACATTGAGCTGATGTTATTCTTGGCCCAGGACAGAGCGATTACTCAGTAGTTTCTGTTAAAGTGATCCTTTGTTAAACTTCTGCTCCCAGCCCCCCTCTCCTTCCCTCCCACTCTCTTCTCCGTCTCATCCAGACTGAAAAAAGCCCAAAAAGCAGAAATCTTAACGGCATCTTGATGGCCAAGGCAGAATTGCTGCAACTTCTCTTAACAACAGACGGGCGAAAGGGGGGGATTTTAAATACATCTTAATTTTTCACCTGTTCTGTTCTTGTTCCAAAGCCCTACAGTTTTTAGTAGACTTGATTTTGAACATAGTAAGGTAACTCAAGGTACGAGAAAATGGTGCATCCTGAATTCCTGTTACCCTTCCACTCCATCTGTCCTTTACTTCCCCCTTCCCACCAGACTCTGTGTTGCCAGACTAACCT